TCTTTCGGTTTATTTTTTCTTGATAATCCTTCTGATGGACATTTTCGGTTGGGTGAACTTCTACAGCTATCAGAGACTATATATGGATAAAGAAATGTGGAAACCATGTTGCGCAAAAATAAAATGATATATACAAAAATATGATATAATTTAATTATCCAAAATGGTCATTGGATGCATTCGATTCTGCATTTTTTTTTAGTCGTTCAAAGTATTCCAAAAAGTGACATGTTACATTTGCGCAAAATACCAAACGCCAAAACCGTAATACTTCGAAATGATACCAATGTACTTGTATGTGTTCTGTATATATGAACCACAGTATTACTAGCCCTTTGAAAATAATATAGATAATCTGGCAAGTAGATTATAAACACTGGCTCGGGCACCAGCTAAAACTCTAGCTCGAAAGAGAAATTTGGAGTATGCTCCGAACAATTTGGTCATAAAACTTGGCTTCAAATTCCGACTCAGAAGTTTGAAGACGAGCACGTGCTCGAAATGTAGGCTATAAAACTTGATGGTAATAAATACATGTGATGCTGAAAGCTGGAGTAAGCTTTGTAAAAAGTAAGCTTTATTCCAACAAATGAAAAACTGGGAACGCATTCCGCAAAATTTTCGAGATAGAGCCAATGTCGGGTAAGGGATATTAGGAATGAGGCAATGAAAATGATGGTTGTATGAACCTAAAAGGGGCCAGTGGAGCACCCCTCCTTAAATAATTTTGCATGATATAATAAACTACAGAAAATAAAGCTAGTTTATGGATGTGTCCCCCCCCCCCCCCCTAAATACGTCTGATGACCTTTATTGGCTTTCAAAGGAACAGGCAGGTAGCATTAGGGGGCCTGCTTCCCCAACTTTTTCCAATCAGAACTTTTTACCCTTGAAAATGAAATGTTCATTGAACATTGCCCGGTTGCACCTCCCCACCCCCTCCCCCGTATTTGTTGCAGTATAGTCAAATACGGGTAATGTAGTAGTTAATTAATAAAATTTAGCAATGAAAGAAATTGGAACCTATTTTGCTTGTCAATTTTTTAAGTTTAGTTGATTTTTTTTTTCAGACTGACCCCTCTCTTTAAAAAACGATGCTATGCCCATGAGTAAATTTTGCTTGGTAGTGTCCACCAAAAATGCTTGGTTGTGTCCCCAAACTGAAATGGTTCTTAAGGGTCTGGAATTCTTGGACCAATTAAGATTTTATTAGTAATACCCCTACTCAATAAATGTTATATCTTTAAAGAAGGCAATATTGCATGAAATGTACTTCTAAATAGCATGATCTTGTATGATATGTAGTTCATATTGTAAAGTAATTTTGTCAAATCCATATATTAGACTAAACCTATCCACTTTAAATTAAAAACGAATATTTCTAGACGGAGGACCCTTCACGGATATTGAATGTAGAAACTGACATTTACCAGAAAATGAAAGAACCTGTAGAATATTTTGATTTTTGTAATGATTGAAGATGAATGTCATTTTTTGCTTGAATTTTTTAGCGAATGTCCTGTACGTGTGTCTCTAAGAAAAATTGCATCAAACTGCATCATTTTAGGTCTCCAACTACACTCAAACCAACGCAGCTGTCTGCTCAGCAGTTCAAAATATCAGTGTTTCGATTGATCATGGAACTTTAATTCAATTTATAATAATTCATCAATAATGATGACAAGAAATAGTAAAAAGAGTCTTCTCAGAAGACATTCATTTTTGGCCTACTGAAACTTTGGCATTCAAAAGCTTTCAGAGACTTTGCCCTTAGGGGAATCTCAAGGCGCCCCAAGCCCCCTGCCTTATCAGCTCGCCTCACCCCACTTTAAATCCTCTACCCACCCTTGATTGTATTATAAGATACGCATGTCAGAGCTTTGGTAACTTTGATTATAAAATGTTTCAAAAGTTAAAAAGCCCTTAGCGATGCTTGAGGACATCCCAGCCCAGGTATAAAAAGCAGTTTAAAGCTGAACACGACTCGTAAATAGGCATGTATCTAAGATATCAGCACCGGGATATACCCTTCGCATTTGTTACACCTGACTGCTTTATTGTCACAGGTATCGGCGTGAAATGGCGACAGGTGTTCGTGCTGGTTACCTTGCATTACTTTTGTTTACATTTTATTGCAATTACGTATATTTGTGTTTGTTTGTATACTGCACTGACCTGTGCAATTGTTGTAAATCTCCTTGGTATCTTACTCTCTTGCATTAGAAGAAGCAGTTATTTTTGTCGCCACCAAGTGCTGTATAGCATACGTCCGTCTACACCAGTGACAATTGAATACACTGAACAGTGACCAGTGAGCGGCTCTATATATAGGGGCCCTCAGATATAGCGAGAGTCCAATCGAATATGGCGGACAGATTCTTTTTACGAAGCGTGTTCAGCTTTAAATACTACGCAATATTTTTGGTGCATAATACGCTCCATACTCAAGATATGTACATGTTCACCAAACCGAAAATGTCCAATATGTTCCTTTTTAAAGACAGATTTCCCCCTTTCCTCTATATATTTTAGCACAAGAAAGTGCTAGGATGTATGACAATTACAGTGGAAGTCATTAGTTTTATCTTCAAATAAAGAATTATAAGGTTTGTAACCTCGCATTCATTATTAATATATCATGTCTGGTAACATGCAAGTCAAAATATTTCACTGAAAATTTTAAAGGACTGATATGCATCTTTAAGATATTATTTCATCAACCTTTCTCCTTCCACAAAAACCAAGTTTGATAAGAAAGCATAAGTGTACATACATATGTTTTATTCCCTTCTTTGCATTGTCATTTCAACATGAAAGGATTTGTACATACATGTATGTATTAAGACAAGGAATTATTTTCGCAGATTTAAAAATTCTTTAAAATTCCAAATATAATATGATAAATCTTCTTCTACAGTTGTTTGCTAAACATTACTGAACTTATGAAAATAATGCATTACTTTTGAAAGTAAATTATATAATGATTTGTTAAATTGCATCAAATAATATTAACTTCGACGAGTTTTCTGAAGAAATATGTACTCTGATTTGACAAAAATACAAATATATATACACTTAACATAGTTCATACGGACCTTTCAAACACTAATTCCATGACTTTCCAAAACCTTCTTGTCTTTAAATCAACAATTTTTTTTTATTTCTCATGCTTCAATACAATAGAACATACCAGTACAGCACAAACAACAAAGAGTAAACATTGTTAGACAATTTTTTTGTATATATTGCTGCACATAAACCTCTAAACATTTACAGTCCTTTTTCTTGAAATTTTAAGTATAAAAATTATTAATATCCAAACAATAAGCTTTTTGTTGTGTTACACAAGATGTGATGGTTGCCACATTGCTGAAAAAATGCATAACCTGCTTCAGCTTTGTATTATAATATGAACACCCCTCCCTCTGATCTGCATGTAAAGTTGTAAACATGATGGAAGTATTGTGGTACATGTACAGTAAACACACAGTTAAATCAAAGTTTTGAGAACTTGTGGATTAATAATTGATTAAATCTGTATCAAATTTGCATTAAACTACAATTAGTGAATTGGCAATACACAAATTTCCTTCTTATAACTTCTGTCATACATGTATGGAGTTTATGTCTTCAAGTTGATTTGATATACAAGAGCATGCTCTACAGACAATAAACAATCTTTAAAATGGGGCAAGCTATTGACATATAAGTTGATGATACAAGGATATCAACAGCCCTGTTTAAAGTCAGCAATTTGCAAATTCTATGATGGATGCAATGACCTTATTAGCAATACAATCTTTTTAAGTCAAATGTTGATTGACCTTTTTCATACTAAATGTTACGCAATTATTTTCACACTGAATTATGAGCCATAATACCGTAACTTTAACTTTAATCCACATATCCTGGGGATGCTTCAATATTGATTAAGAAGGTCATGTTGTTCTGCAGAAGGGGAAAACATTCATTGAATAATAAAAAATTGCTTCCAGATTCTAGCTTACTCTAATACTGGGAACAATAATTTAAAGAAAATTTGAATCCACATAACTTGGGAATGTTTCAAAAGAAGTGTTGGCATGGTGTTTTCTACATTGTTTTTCCAAAAATATCATCGTCATACATTTCACTTTGAAATATTGATCCCCTTTGTTGCCTTATTCTACTCCTGAGGGTCAACAAGTTGTAGTCCCATTTTACCCCCAGGGACCATTATTTGGAAAAATTAAATCTGCTCTGAGGATGATTTACAACATATTAATATGACTAATCATGACCTTGTTATTCTTTACAAGAAGAAAATAAATATTTTTCCTATATATTCCCATGTGTAAAACTGTGATCTCCTGTTGTGGCCACACACGATTTGAACACCCTTAAATCAGGAAGCTTTCACATAACATTAACATTTTCCAGCCAAGTTGTTCTTGAAAAGAAGACTTTAAAAAATCCATCAAATTTTCATGAACTCTTAATTATCTCCCCTTAAAAGAGGGCATGGCTCTTCGTTTGAACAAACTTTTTCCCCTTTTATTAAAGGATGCTTTGAGGCAAGTTTGGTTGAAATAGTCCAAGTGATTCTAGAGAAGAATTCAAAAATGTAAAAAGTTAACAGACAACACACATCAGATGGACAGACAGAAACCAGACATTTTTCAATCAGAAAAGCTCACTTGAGCTTTAAGTTTGGGTGAGCTAAAAAAGTAACATGTACACTTGATGAAAAAAAGGCAACACTATATATAAAAAAGAATTAAAAAATAAATGTACATGCATTAATATAAATTATTAGGCAAAAAAATCCCTCTCCAGATCTATGGTGTTGTTGACAGAATATTCAGACATAATATTCGAAACTCTTCCAACTTCTTTTCTTTTTGATCAGTGTCTTCATTTTTTTTCTTCCTTAATGTCATTTTTAATTTTTGATCGTAGTGCTATGGGTGATGATACTGTGAAAATATATATCTCTGAAATAGGCAGTCTTCTTTTTTCACCGTCATTTGATGTTTTCAGGTAATATCTGAAAAGAAAGCATCATTCATGAGCATTTAAAGCAATGTAAGAAATATCAACAAAAATTACAACCTACAATTTCCATAAAAATTATGAGGGGTTTAGAAATTCTGCATTCTGTAGTAAGTTATAACTCTGAATTCATTTCAATGTTGTGACTGTATTTATTCTAGTTGAACCAAATTGGGCTGAGGTTCAAGGTTTTACAAAAAGAAAAAAAAATACTGGGTAAGGGAAAATAATATCATTTGTTCTTTCTACAGTAAGGTTTTACTCTGTCAATAAGCTCAAGTGATGCAGTGGTTAGAGCATTAGTCGCTTTGTCTGTCTGTCAGTCTCTCCCACTTGGCTTTCTGCACTTTTTTCCTAAATGCTTGCAGAAAATGAGCTTTTTTTGGTAAGTGTGTGTATCTTGATGAATTACCTTACATACTTGCCTATAAGTTGGTTTTTTGGGAGTTAAACTTTGGTCCAAAACTCTTTACCAACTTATACGCAAATTTTAACAAGATTGGTAATTTAGTGGGTCAATCCCTCTAATTTAAGCTTAATAAATACAACCGACTTATAGGCGGACCGACTTATAGGCGAGTATATACGGTACAGATCAAGTTTCAATTTCATTCCACAGGGATTTATCCAAGTTTTGGGGGAAACTGTGTTTTTTGAGAAGTTAGGAAATTACTTTCAATTAAATTAATTTATTATTTTGAAGCAAGTGATCTTTTTTATAAGGTCTACTTACCCTTTCTACTGTGTGTACATCTGTTCTCCAATTCAACTAACCTGTAGGATCTTGGCTAGAAGTTGACAAACTAGGGGTATCTGTAAGTTAAAGACAGATTAGTAGGAATAAACTGTATACATGGAAATTCCCCCCCCCCCCATTTTATTTTCGCCCCTTTGGGCCTACTCACAGGTGTGCAATTTTAAAACGGGGTAAATTCAAAGAACACAGTATGTATAATTTCTTAAACAGAACTGTGACTGACCAATTTTAAAACGGGGCAAAATTGTTTGCAAGTGTGAAAGGGCAAAAATAACATGGGGTGAAAAAAGTCCTGTATAGAGTACTGCAAATCACCAATTTTCCATAATATCAAGTACTACTGACCATGTTGACAACATTTTAAAAGTAGGTCTTAGTGTAATAAATGCTGGATAAAATCTACTTATTGTTGTGTACAATTAGAATTTTTCAGTAAGAGCTCTAACATTTAACCAAACCTTAAGAAAAAAAATCTTATTTCTCTATTAAAGTTCTTGCAAGTAAATATTATAAATTTGTAGTAAACAAAAGAATATCTTGCTTTTAAATTTACAATATAGAATTATTAGAAGTACATGGACAATTAAAATAACACTTCCTATGTAATTCTGACACTCTTAATTGTTTAATCTGAATTGCATTAAGCATGTTAAGGTATTCCTTTTTTCACTTAGGTAGATATTTTTCCTAATGAAAACTAATCCTTATCTAACCTATCACTCATTTTAAATGCAACAAAAATACATTTTTAGAATCTTCTGAAAGACAGTTCGACAAGACTAGTACTCGTTAATGTCAAACCCTGACAGTCAAACCCTGTTATCTTGACCTAGACGGGACTGTGAAAAAACTTTGAGATATCTGGAAGATTTGGGATACTGAGGGAAAAATTCTTAATAATAAGTGATTGGGACTAGAATACCATATTTTACATGGTATTCGAGATATCAGTGTTCGAGATACCGAAGTTCAACTGTACTCTTATTACTGTAGTATGTATTCTATAAACCAACTATTATTCCTGACAATTTTTATTCAGGATTCCTTACTTTATTGAAATCCATCTGCAACAGTGACCATTAATTTTCACAGAGCTCTAAGGAAACATTCTAATACAATGTCACAACTTATGCATGGCACCTGATGAGAAATATTTGCAAGTAGTGAAGGTTGCGAATCTTGCAGATCTTTCTTGTAGGCAAGTTAAAGTTGGTTTACAGCATATTATGTATATATACTGAACTTTGCAGGGTATAATAAAGTCTTACTTCAAAGTAATTTCATCTAATGTTTCCCTAAGTACGACATCTTTCATCAACTGCAATCAAAATTGGAATACATAAGCCAGTTCCAATGTCCTTCCTTGCAGTCCGTGGTATTCCCTGTGAACTGAGATTGGGTCTCCATGACTTCAGCCACTTTAATTCTTGATTGTCCCCAAATCTTTAATCTTCAAAGAGAAAAAGCGTCAACTCAACTTAAGGTCAATATCTTCCTAGAAACTTAGTCTTCCTAGAAAAAAGATGCTCAAAAACCAGAAGTCTCTGATGAGACTCACAGTCGCTCTACTGGGTTGTACTTATAACAAAGGAAGAGAAAAGTAATACTTGGATTGAAACTTTGTAACAGCAATAAATAGAATTAAGTATCATAGTGTTGTCTACTTGTGTGCCAAGTTATACTGTATTTAAACCAATACTGTAGGAGAAGTAGCATTTTGAAAGTATTTTACAGAAATTTCTATTTTTTGTTTTTTGTAACCATGGCAACACTGTTGATCAAAATCCAAAACAGATATACAGAATTATGTAGCTTAGTGTTGTCTACTTGTGTGCCAAGTTATATTGTTATCAGACCAAAACTGTAGGAGGAGTAGCATTTTAAAAACAAGAGGCCCATGGGCCACATCTCTCACCTGAGCACATTGGCTAAGAAAAAAGCAAAAATCAGTTCTTTTCAAAAGGGGGGGGGGGGGGGGGCTTGAATTTTAACTACCTGATGATGCTTCAATATCAATATAACAAAAGGCTTTGATGTTCTTGCGCAGATTTTTTCCTATATATTCATTTGTAAAAATTTCATTCCCCATTGTAGCCCCACCCTACCCCCGGGGGCCCTCATTTGAACAAATTATCAATATGACTAATCATGGTTTTTCTGTTCTTGCGAAAAAGATTTTTTCCTATATATTCCTATGTAAAACACTGATCCCCCATTGTGGCCCCACCCTACCCCTGGGGGTCATGGTTTGTACAAAATTAAATCTAAACGATCTGATGATGCTTCTGTATAAATATGACCAATCATGGGTTTGCTGTTCTTGAAACAGTGTATTATTTGAATTTGGAATTATTTTGGTTATTGGAATTTGGGGTTTTCAAGAAAAAAGCCCTTAGTCAGACTAACTTAGACAACTAACAAGAATTTCCATTTCTTTTTGTGTTAGTCTTAACTAACTTAGTTAACTAACAATAATTTTTCTAATAAATGTTGGGTTAGTCTTAACTAACTTAGCCAACTAACAAGAAATATTCTAATAAATGTTGGGTTATTATACAGTAATACCACTAATAATATGTTTGAATTCATTCTTTCTCTTTAATTTATAATGATTTTGTGTTTATCAATTTTATTTTTCTTATATAATGTTGTTTGTGCTGGTGTTCTTTTTTATTTGGACTTTATTTTGTGGACTTGGCCTAAAACCAAGGCTTAGTCAGTGTTTGTTCAGTCTCAGCAGGGTTAGTTAGCGCACGCGCACCATAGGGGTTAGTTGTGCCAGGCATGACTAACCCACTCGAGCCTTCAACACTACAACAATAAAAAACGTCCCAAAATCATTTCAACATCCGTGTTCTGAATATTATGCAGTCTTTGCACTCAAGATATTCAAGAATCCTCACCAACATGCGTAATTTTCGTAATTTCTATCGTAAGTCATTTCACTGGGCAGGTCATTTCAACGTTCTCGAATTTTTCACTAACCTTGCAGATTACATTCGAAAAATCCCACCTGTCGCGTCAATATCGCCGAGGAAATGCTGTAGTAAATAAAAAATGTTAACAATACAATTACATGCGTTGAAAATACGGCAAAATACGAAGTAATGTAGCTGCCTTCGTCCTAAACACAGCCACTGCAGACACAACTCGGCGTCACTTCCGCTGTGACGTCATATTCACTCCCTGCACTGAGTGAGAGTATGTAGGTGGATCCAAGTGTAACGGGAATTGCAATTTCATTCGTAACATACTTAAGACGGTGTTAGGCAATAATTTATCCAATGTTAATAAAGGCATACACATAGAGACTTGTAATGAAAAGTTTTTGAAACTCTATCACGCATAATTTAGTTTTAATGCACAATAAATTTATCTTTCTATTGCAGCTAATATTACAGGTATTTCTGTTCTTCCAATTGTTCACTTTTCATCTTTTGTTCACTCGTATTTATTGTCGAGTTTGTTTTTTCCTTGGTGAATGTTGTTTTCATAAAGATGAAAAATATGTCAGTTCAAGAATATTTATTTTGATGCAAGAATAAAATCTGATAGTGTAGAGAGATACTCCTTAAAGATAGTGGCAACATATCACAGGAGGAAATGATACTACTATGTTTTAGTGCTAAAAAAAGCAACGAAAAAATTGAAGATCTGTGATCCACCTATTCATTTCACTGTCAGTTAAGAGACGCAATTTAGGATGCAAATCTTGAACTTTGGTATCAAAAGTGACGTATTACTTTATTGTTACGTCATAAAGTAGCTACAAGTGGAAAAGGCTGTAGAATATTGAAGCAAAGAAATCGCAGACTTATAGCTAGGTCTAGGATAATTCATATATCTTATAATTGTAAGCATGGGGGAATACAGGATTTGTGATTGGGGGGGGGGGGGGACGTTTTCCAGTTTGAATAATTATGAGATAATATTTATAGCCTAAGGAATGCAAGGTTTTCAGACTTGATTTTTAAGAAAACCGATACTTGGTCATTAAATAAAATTACCATTTTTTAAATTGACCATTAATTATAAAACCAAGTATGGCATTATTAATATTAGTCATGTCATACTTTGAAAATTTTAGAAGGGGGGCGTGCGCCCCAGCCCCCCCCCCCCCTCCCCTTAAATCCGCCAGTGGTAAGTAATACAAATAATGAAGAAAAAAAACGCCGATATGTGTTCATTTTGTTTTGATATGTCATATTATACCGATGAATTAGCTGTATCGAGGAAAAGGGAGACATTTATATACTATATCTATACTGTAGTACTATACTTCGGCCAAAGAAAACTTTCCTACAAGTAAATACCTTAGTTCCAAAAGTTTTTTTTTTTTAAACAATGAATAAGAACCTCAAAAATTGCAATGGCCTGTTTTTACATTTATTTGATATAATGTCGTGTGATGATTCCGCAGATTCTCGGGATATGAAGAGTTTTCAAATTTCTGTAAAACGAAAGAGATTGAAAACCTTGGAGACACCCGACACCCCTAGGAAACAAGGACCCCTGGTAATATAGTAAGGAGAGCCATGCATACATGTACATGATGAAAGTAATTTATCCTTAGTTACGGTAATAACCCCCCTCCTCCTTTCTTTCACGAAAAAAGGTTTTTCATGTTTTGACAAGTCTTTTCTTGTCTCTCTTTTATGCTTGTCAACAAATTTCTTAGTCCGGCATTTGTTTTGGTTGCTGTGGACCTCACCCCTTGAAAAGATTCCTGGATCAGCACATGGACTGTCGCGGTAAATAATGGACATCACAATAAGTGAGAAGCTTTGAAAAAAAAATTGTGTTAATTGCAGCTGAGGCATACTCAAACAAAATTTACTTCCAACATTTTTTTATTTCACTATTTATTATCCGGAAACTCGTAACAATTTTTTGACACATGTATAAGCTCCAGACAGCTTAGTATTACGTTACGCTACAACTCCATATAATTATTCGTAAGGGAAAAGTAGTCCCGGAGAATTGACACTGTATGGATGTGGAACCCCCCCCCCCCACCCCCCTTCGCACGTTGTACAATATGAAAACTACATGTAAAGGACAATAAAAAGGTAATGCAACAACTGAATGTATGTATTTCTAGTGTCAATGGTCATGAATGACACAGTATTATAGTACGTATACCTTTGTTTGATTTCAAGAACAATTTATATGTGAATATATTTTGCGGATACTGTAATAACAAATTTAGGGATGATACTAAGTAATTAAAAAAGTACATAACATCAGTTACATCACAAACTTAAGACGACAACTTTTGTCAGCCCTATAGAATTCCCGGTCTTATGTTGAACACATGATCTTCATTCTCGATATGGGGGCACCCTATTATTTTGGTTGCTATTAAAGGTGATTGAAATTTTCGGTATAATATCATGACTTATATGTTTTTATAGCATTTCACATGGAAATAAAGTAAAAAAAAAAACAACTTATTTTGTCTGGAAATTATTGAAACTACAAATTTCGGGACGCGTTTGATTGACACATCTATGCACTTTCACAAAGTAAACTTTATCCTCAATACTTAAGAAAAGTAGAAATTTTGTTGTGCATTAAATAGAGAATAATACATGACAAAATCTGTATCACACCCCATATCAACCCGAGACTCCAATATCAGCCCGAGGGCCGAAGGCCAGAGGGCTGATATTGGTCAAGGGTTGATATGGGGTGTGATACAGACTTTGTCTTGTATTGTTGTTTTTATTATATATTTGAAAATAGTGTCCTAAAAATCATATATAAACTTGTAAATTAATTACTGAATTTTTAATAATTGAATGTGTTCTGTTTTTGTTGAATTTCCGTTTCTCAATCTTTTTTAAAGGCATATAAATGCATTCAGCGATACGAAATGAAATTATTATAAATCAAACAAATGATTATTTTGAATAACATAATATGTCTGATGAAATAAAATTACAATTTGAATAAACTTTGGAAAGAAATAGGAAAAGATCCGAGGTACTCCGAATGAAAAATACAGAGGTGTTCCGGAAAGGTGTAATAAAGGGTCTGATAAAGGGTGAAATATAGGGTCCTGATACAGGGTGTGTAATACAGGGCGCGTGCCTGTGCTCATGTTAGGGATGCAAAAATCCTGTATTATATAACAAATATATTTTATGAAAAATATTAAACTATAATCCAGAAAATAAAGAGTAGAAATGTGAGAAAGCAAAACCCGTGAAACGTAAACTGTTTTTGTAATCAGGGCAAGAGCTCTGTTATTGTTAATGTTTAACGTTTCACCGGGTGTGTTCAATTTTAAACTCTGCACACATCACTGAGAACGGACTGACAGTACTGGTGAGTTGGTTTTGCTTTCTTACATTTCCACTCTGAATTTTCTGGATTATAGTTTGAATATATTTCATTAATATACAAAAAAAATTTTTACTTTTCTTAAGCATTAAGAATAAAGTTTGTTTTATGAAAGTGCTAGGATGTATCAATCAAACGCGTCCCGAAATTTGTAGTTTCAATAATTTCCAGATAAAATAAGTTTTTTTTTTATTTATTTCCGTTCGAAATGCTATTGCAACATATAAGTCATGATATTATACCAAAAACTTGAGAAAATATTAACTTCAAATCTGTGTCCAAGCGCCTTTAAATCCACATAGGACTCGTGCATGGAGCTTCAGTAACACCTTTTTTGGATCCGCTCCCAAACATCAATATGACAATATATCATCAACAGTCATTTTTAAGTTTCCTCGTACAGATATTTTTCGGAATCCTAGGTCATCACCACAGTGAGGATTGTGTGAGATTTTAATGTATGATCTTTGGGTCATGATGTCAACATTTGTCCTC